TTCTTATATTGGCAATGACAAACTTGCCAGTAATAATAATGAAAAAGTAAAGGGGGGGTGGCCGACTAAAATCCCTCTGCCGTAACAAGTCATCTGTTTCATTCTCTTATTCTTCATCCACATATGTACATAATTTTATTGAGTGGATGTGATCTTGCAAAATGTTAGTAACACCCACTCTTACTCAATTCATGTTACCTGTAAGCTTCCTAATTATTATATTTAATGATTGCTTAGTGTTATATTAAATGGACATAGCATAATGCAAGCATTACCTTATAGTTGAGCACTTAGATCATTTCCAAAATTTGAACTTTTAAATAGTAAAAATATATGCAATGAATACATTCCTTCCCCTTTTTGGATTATTTTATTGGGATAAACTTTGTTTTTCATTGGTTTTTAAATCCTTATTTATAAGGCTAAATATATCATACTATTGCTGAACTATCTTAATACTTTTCAGGAAGAAAACTAATAATTTAGTGGCTATTCATAGCCAGTAAATATTCTTGATTTCTTTATTCAGAAATTTGAGGCATATTTCAGTATGTCCTGATATTTTAATGGCATATTTTTAAATATTTAACTTTATTAGATGATAAATTTCTTTGACAAATGATCTCAAAATTTTATTCACATTAATTGGTTAGAACTTGCTGTAAAATTAGGTTGATGAAATCCCTTTTAGTTCTTTTTTTGAGGAATTCAATTTTAAGTATTTTTTAAGATCTTATTATGTCCTGGTCCCTGGTTATATTAGTAAAAGTACATTAATCTGTGTGTTACATTGTAAGGAGATGCAGTGGTAAGCTGACCCAGAGGCAGGTTTTTCTGAGGAGTTGAACCCATTCTTTGAGTAAGAATAATATTACCTAGCAATCGGTGAGTCTCTATTAAGTGTGTTCAGTCAGCATCCACTCATTAGCATTAAGAATCTACTCCATGACGTACTCTGAGACAGAGCGGGGGTTAGATGCAATGATCTCTCAGTATCGTCCCTTGGCTACATAACATACACATACATTTTATGGAACATGGTTCCTGTTACTGAGTTATTGTGTGCATTTGAAACTTCCTAAGTGGAATGTCCACTAAGTACCCTAAATTCATGAGATCCTCGTAATCTGGTTTCTAAATTAAAATATGGGAAACCTTTATTTCAGTATAAAATTTTAAATTGCCTTCAACATTACGTGTTGTGCTTTTGGCCTGAAAAGCACATTGGATTGTCATTCATTCCATTTATATTTATTAACAACTACAGGGTATTTGGGCTTTAGCGATGGAGAGTAAAAGAAGGCCTAAATGCGTGGACAAATCTCTGGAGAAATAACGAGCCTCTATAATGATGCCTGCAATGTAGCAGGAAGAGCACTAAACTTGCAATGAGATCATCTAAACTCGTCAAGTCATTGCATTGTGCTGAGCTTCACTTTCCTGGGGTATAAAATTAAGTTCATAATCCCTACCACAAGCTGCTTGCAAATATTAAGTAAGGTGTAAA